CAACAGAAATCGACATTAAACATTCCCACAGCTGGGAGCAGTGGCTCTTGCCTGTAATCCTAGCACTCTGGGAGGCCGGGGCAGGAGGATCATTTGAGCTCAGGAGTTCCAGCCCAGCCTGAGCAAGACGAGACCCCATCTCTAGTAAAAATAGAAAAATTATCTGGGCCTGGTGGTGCACACCTGGAGTCCCAGCTGCTCCGGAGGCTGAGGCAGGAGGATGCTTGAGCCCAGGAGTGGGAGGTTGCAGTGAGCTGTGATGACATCACTGCACTGCAGTTTGGGCAACAGAGCGAGACCCTTTCTCAAAAAGAAACAAATCTCCCATGTGCCTGTGAGCCCCGGGCTCTGCCGGTGCAGCGGGCCTAGAGCGTGGGTCAGCGCCGGTGCAGGGTCAGTCCCCGAGCGGGGCTGCGGCTGGGGGGCGTGGCCCAGGGGACGGGCTGGGGCCAGGGGGCGGGGCCGGGGCGGGTCTGCGGCGGGCTGGGGGCCGGAGGATGGGCCTGGGGCCTGGCACCGCCCTCCCATCTCCGCTACACGCCGCGTTCCCCTCCGCCCCGCGTCATGGGCGGCCTCTTTGGGGGCGCCGCGCTGCGGGGGCTGCGCTGCTGGCTGCGCGCCCCAGGCCCTGGCCTGCTCGCGCGCACCTGCTCGGGTGAGTCGGGCCGGACGACCCAGTAGGCCGGCGGGAGGGCGCGCCGCTCGGCCTTTGTTCGCGCACGTGCGGCGGGGCAGGCCGAGGGTGGGGGTCCAGCCAAGTCTGAAGGCGCAGACTCGGACCGGCGCTCCACTCCCGCCCTGGAGTTCCCGTCCCGCCTGGCCGGGGCCGTGCCTTCCTTCTCCCCAGGCTGCCTCGGGTCGGCGGGGGGCCCAGGGTCCTGGAACAATTGAAAGCCAAAGGCCAGGAGGCCGCACAGGGCGGTGTTGGAGGTCCGCTTGGCCCGGGTCTCCTGGAGAGGCTTGTCCCCAGCAGAGGAGCACTCCCCAGGAGCCGCTGTGGCTGGGCCGCCTCCCGCCAAGTTAGGCCAGAGTGGGGACACTAGGCCCTACGTCTGCCTGGCCCACTGCTGCCCACTCGCGGGGTGCTTCCTGAGAGCCACGTATCATAATGTTCCTTCCATAGGCCCTGACAAGTGACTGCCATCCTCCAAGGCGCAGAGCAGCTGGCAGCAGAGCCCCCAGGCTAGAAGAGAGCCCTGTGAACTGGGTTTGGGGGGAACAAACAAGCCAGGGGGTTCCTCCCATGGGCCTCCTTCAGTCCTGAAGGCCCGTGGTGGGCACCCACTGCCTGCTACTCAGGATGAACTGTGGTCAATTTTCCCTCCTGGAGGTGAGGCCAGACATGCAGCCTGCCTGGACGCTAACTCGCCATTTCTCCTTTGGTTCTGTGCACCCTTTTTGTGGGACATCCAGCGTCTGGGCTCTTTTCAAAACCAGCATTTTGACCCTGGACCTAATGCTAGAGGGTCAGCATCACTCTGGGAGTGGCCTGGGGCTGTAGGAGGGTGAGCATGTCTCCGGCTCCCTGGCAGTGCCCCCTCCAGAGGAGAGAGGCTAGGGCAGAGTTCAGCACTGACCCTGGGTCTGGAAGCATCTGGCCTTGGAACCCCCAGCAGCAGAGTTCCCGCCTGGCAGGGTGTGAGAGAGGAAGCCCTCCAGCGTCTGCTGGCTGCAGACAAGAACCCTCTACCTGCCTTCTCCATCTTCAGGCCCCTTTTGTCCCCGTGCCCATGGCCCACCTGGTGGAAGAAGTGCACTTTTCCCTGGGTCTCTGCCATTCCTTCACCTCAAATCCAGAGGATGGTCTGGGCTTCAGACCGTGTCTGTGCCATCTTGCAGAGGGACAATAGTCAAAATCAAGGCCAGAGTTGTGCAGCATCTCCAGGCCTCCAGGGCAGATTATGCCACTGCCTTAGCAAAGCTGTGGCCCCTCCAACAGGCTAGAAGACCTGGGGACATTCTGCCCTGGGTATCCCTGACAGGCAGTGCCACGGGGGCACTTTCTGGCTCTGGGTACCATACTTGTCTCTTCCAGAGCTGCCCTGCGTAGAGGCAGATACCCTGAAGCACGGTGCTGCCTGGGCCCTGGCAGAGGAGCCCAGGTCAGGGGGCCATGGAAGCGTGAGGCAGCAGCAGCCCTGACCCCTCCTCTTTTAAAGGAGGGCCCTCTTGGACCCGGGAGCGGACCTTGGTGGCGGTGAAGCCAGATGGGGTGCAGCGGCGGCTGGTTGGGGATGTGATCCAGCGCTTTGAGAGGCGGGGCTTCAAGCTGGTGGGGATGAAGATGCTGCAGGTACCAGGGCTCACTGCTGGTGGGTGTCCCTGAGGGGACATCTCAGCTAGTGTCGGGGGAATGTCCTGGCTTTGGCAGTTGAAGCGGGGAGGGAGGCATCTGTTCTGCGGTTGGGAACCCATGTAGGTGTTACCTTCAAGGTGCTCTGGGGTCAGGGCACCACAGCCACCTGCCCAGTGCCCGGAGTTTACTCTCTGGGGGCCTCTTTTACCCCTCCCCCTATACCACCCAGGCGCCTGAGAGCGTCCTTGCTGAGCACTACCAGGACCTGAGGAGAAAGCCCTTCTACCCAGCCCTCATCAGCTACATGAGCTCCGGGCCAGTAGTGGCCATGGTATGGTGGGCAGCGGCAGTGGAGGGGCAGCAGGTGTGTCCTCCCCTAAGCAAAAGGAAGGGCCCTGGATTGAGCCTGGGGGCCCTTGGCGCTCTCCACCTCTCCCCAGACTTTATCTCTTGCTGCAGGTCTGGGAAGGGTACAATGTGGTCCGTGCCTCAAGGGCCATGATAGGACATACTGACTCTGCAGAGGCCGCCCCTGGGACCATCCGGGGAGACTTCAGCATTCACATCAGCAGGTACCGGGACCCTGACACACTCAGCTGCCCACTCGGGGGCAAAGAGGGCCAGTGTTTGGGGTGACGGCCTGTTCCTAAGGCAGATCCACAAGACCTGGGTGTCTTGCTGTGCTGAAGGTGAAGCCAAAAGACTTATGGTGGGATATCACAGCTTACGTCGCTGGAGCTTTCTTCACAACCCTTTCCTGCACGTAGGAGGAGATGAAGCATTTGCTTTGTGTTGTGTGTATACTCTGCCGTGATTGCCCGTTATCTGACTAACTTGCCAGACACCGCTAGGGGCTGGCGTGGCACAGCTGGGGGGAAATGAGGTGCCAAAAAGCTTGGGTCTGGGCTGGTGCAGGAGGTTGTGAGCAAGAGGCTGAGGCCAGGCTGGAGCCCGGTTTCCCAGCCTCCTGTTATTCTTTCCCCTCTGCACAATCACCAGGCTTGTTCCCCTAGACAGAGGGCAACAGGGGAGTAAAAGATGGACCCTGGGACTCCCCAAAGTGCACACTGCAGCCAGCCTGAGCCTTACCTTTCTCTCCTGCCACCTGGCACAGGAACATCATCCACGCCAGTGACTCCATAGAGGGGGCCCAGAGAGAGATCCAGCTGTGGTTCCAGAGCAGTGAGCTGGTGAACTGGGCAGACGGTGGCCATCAGAGCAGCGTGTACCCAGTCTGAGAGCTCAGGCTGCCCTTGGCCACCCCAGCGTCCAACCAGGACCAACTACCTCGGTCAATAAGAACTCAAGCCCACGCCTATACCTGTCTCCCAAATCACTTCCCTGTTCACCTGCTGCACCCCCAGCTTGGAGGAGTTTGAGCCACCAACTTTACGTGCCTTTCTGTATCCCAACCAGCATTAAGATTGGAACAAATCTTTTCTGTACCAAAGTGCCAGACAACCTTTGGGGTGTCTTCAAAGGTGGGTGGTATAACTGCTTCTCCCCCAAAGTGGAGATATTAAAATTCACTGTGCTGGACATGGGGGTGGTGCACTCATTATGAAGTCGTAATGACTATCTGCCATCTCTGAGGTAGAAATGATGCTTTTATGCAAGTTATAAGCAGTTTAAAAATGAAGGTGGCCAGGCACAGTGGCTTATGCCTGTAATCCCAGCACTTTGGGAGGCTGAGGCGGGAGGATCACTTGAGCCCAAGAGTTTGAGACCAGCCTGGCAACACAGCAAGACCCCATCTCTACCAAAAAAAAAAAAAAAAAGTAAGAAAAACTAGCCTGGTGTGGTGGCATGCACCGGTAGTCCCAGCTACTGGGGAGGCTGAGGTGGGAGGTTCACGTAGCCTAGAAATTTGAGGCTGCAAGGAGCTATGATCATGCCACTGCACTCCAGCCCAGGCAACAGAGAGAGACCCTGACTCAAAGCAAAAATAAATAATAAAAATGAAGCTTACTGTCTTGCACACTCAGGAAGGGATCCATAACTTTGTTGAATGCATGAGCCAGGCAAGGGTCCAGAGACCTCCAGCCTGAGATCTGGGGGAATACAGGCTGAGCCCCAGGTTGGCGCAGTCCCAGGAGGAGCAGCCTTTCCTGAGCGGGTCGGGAAGCTGCAGCTGGAACAGCTGGAGCAGCCAGGAAGGGGTAGCTGGGGGCTGAGAGCCCCCGGGGCAGAATGAGCCTGGTGACCACAGACCTCCCCCACTTTGTGGCCTTATGTGGCCCAAAGCTGGTGGGAGCTGCCTGGCATCCATTTGTTGCCACGTAGACACCACACACATCACACCCCACCCCTGGGTCCGGAAGTCGGTGCTCCTACGGTGTGTCCTCGGGCCCTCAGCACAGGTAGCAGACCCTGCCTATCATTACACCTGCTGAAGCCAACTTGGGCGTCCCGGGTTCAGGGCATCGGCCACTGCCTGATTCGCCACCTGGGGCACGGATGAAGTGCCAGCGGCCCTTTATTGGCCACCAAACCGGTCAGGAGGGGAACTGGCACTAAGGACGGCCACGCCAGGGAAAGGCCCTCCTCGTTTTCCTCTGCTTTCCCGGGGCTAGCTTCCCTTCCCTCCTCCTTCGCCGTATTTGTGCAGCAGGGAAGGGGGAGGTGCGGGGTGAGGGGCTCAAACTCCCCGACCCGCTGTTTGAGGAGCGCGGCTGGGCCCGCGGCGGTGGCGGACGCCGAGAAGCCCCGGGCTGCCGCGCGAGCCCGGCCTCATAGCGGGAACCGGGAGTGTCCGATGCGGCCGCCAGGCTCCGACTGCGGCGCGGACGCCCAGCCCCGGTGAAGGCCGCGAGGCCGGCAGGACGCGCACCGCACTGCGCCTGCGCCCGCCGCGCGCGCGGCCCGGACCGACCTCCAGTCCCAGCATGCCGTGCTCGGGGGCGGAGCCTCCATGAGGGCGTGCCCGGGGCGGGGCTTGTCCCGGGAGAGCGCCCAGGGCGAAGTTCGAGGCCGTTCCCGCGCTGGGTCCCGCCGTCCTCGCTGCTCCCGCCGCGCCGAGGGCCATGGCGCAGCCGCCGCCCGACGTGGAGGACGACGCCTGCCTACCTGAGTACCGCCACCTCTTCTGCCCCGACCTGCTCCGGTGAGCGCGCGTCCGTCCCGCCGCGGCACGCGGTGGGGTCGGGGTGGCGACGGCTCGTGTGTTCGAAAGCAGGTCTCGCCTGGTCACCTGGTGAACAGAGTTGTAGGTTGAAGTTGTAGGAAAAGTTCCTGAAGACCCAGAAAGCCCAGAAATACCAGGTTTTGAGAAGCAGCTTTGTCTTTGCTTCCTGTAAAAGTCGTGCACGTTTCTTGTCAATGTAAGGTTTTTGGATGGTCGGGGCCAGAGAAAGAAAGACGAGCAGAGCGAAAAGGGCAAGCAACGAGGCTTTATTGGGGGAAGGGGAAAAAGAGCGCTCCGGGGCAAGGTTCACGGGTCCCGAGAGGTGGGGCCCGAGAAGTGGCGCCGCCCGAGAGTTTTGAGCGGGCTTATATATGTTTTAGAGTTGGGGGATGGGGGTTTTCTGGGGCGAAGAATTTTGGCGTGAAAAGTGGAGAGTTCTTTGTTGCAGTTTTAGGGTGGGTGTCGAGAAGTAGGAGGGGCCAGTGGTATTTGTGGACCCCAGGGACCGCAACTTCTCTTATCCGGGTGAACGTCCAGGTGTGGTTATTTTTTAACTCAGGTGAGCCTGGCAGTTGTTTGTGGGCTTCTCTTATTTGCTTTAGGGAGGGGAGGGCTGCCCGCCACCAGCCTTACATTCCGGCCTTTTGGTTATGTTGGGCGCCGCTCTTTCTGACTACTTCCTGCTGTGAGGGGATGTAGTCGGGGCTGTGGGCCGGAGTGGGCTGGAGGAGGGGTGACTGGTCCAGGGGGGACTGGTTGCGGGGAGTATGGATGAAGAGGTAGTTGGTTTACTGCCACTGGAGATAGCTCCTGTAGGCGGCGCTGGAGGAACTTAAATTTTTAGACGTAAATTGAATCCGGATCAGCCGTGTGAGAGATACCAGAGTCGGTCTCTGGCGGCTGAGGCAGGTATCTGTCCGCGTGAGCACGGAGAAGTTGCCTTTGGGGAGAGAGAGATGGGAGATAGGAGGCCAAAGGTGGGGACTGGGCTGGAAGATGATGGTTAATGAGAAAAGGCCGGTGGTACATGAGCTCAAAAGGGCTCAGATAAGTAGGATATCGAGGGGCTGCCCTGATCCGTGTGAGAGCCAGGGGCAAGAGGTAAGTCATGATTGACGGGACTCGATAATGAGTTTGGTGAGGTGGTCTTTTATTAACCTGTTAGCCCTTTTAACCTTTCCTGAGGACTGAGGTCTGTAGGGAACATGAAGTTTCTATGTTATATTGAGTGTCTCACAGACATGGTGAACAACTTTAGAAATGAAAGCAGGGCCATTGTCAGACTGAATGGAGGAAGGAAGGCCAAAACGAGGAATAATCTTTGTGATGAGAGTGGAGGCCACAACTCTAGCAGTTTTGTTGGCAGTAGGGAAAGCTTCAGCCCAACCCGTGAAGGTGTCTATCAGTGTTAAAAGATATTTGAAGCGTCTGCGGGGCGACATGTGAGTGAAATCGACCTGCCAGTCTTGTCCGGGGTGGTGTCCACGCATTCGATGGGTAGACACGGGGAGTTTGAGGCCCCCCTGAGGATTGACAGAAGCACAAATGTCACAGACCGAGCACACAGTTTTGATAAGGGAGTTTAGCGAAGGGTGTGAAAATAGAGGCTGTAGGAAGTGGAAGAGGCCCTTGGTGCCAATATAGCAAGGTTGGAGGGAAGGAATGGAAAGGAAAAGAAGAGGAGCTGGACCAGGGTGTTTTGGGGATGTTAGGCTGTGGGCGACAGCATCGGCATAGTTGTTCCCCTTAGTGAGGTGGTAGTGGCTTTGACCAACTCAGAACAAGAATGAGAGGACAGGGTTAAGGATGGGATGGGAAGTAGAGTAGCAGGGTTTCAGGTTGGAGACTGCGTCAAGGTAATGGTGGGATTTTTTACAAATAGGAGATAGAATTCCTGTAATCTAGAAGGAGTGAGGAGCGCCAACGAACGGTGAGTTAGAAGGTCTTGGAGGCGATGGGTAGAAAAGACATGTAGATCCTGTCCCAGGGAAAGTTTTAGTGCCTCCCTAGCGAGAGTAGCTGCCGCGGCCAGTATCCAGAGACAGGGCGGCCAGCCACGGACCGTGGTGTCCAGTTGTTTGGATAAATAAGCTACCGGAGTAAAGGAGGGTGGGTTCCAGGAGCCCAGAGATTGGGTGAGAACGCCGAGGGCCAGGCCTTGGCGCTCATCCGTGTAAAGGTAAAAGGGTTTTTTTAGGATTAGGGAGAGTTAGAGGGGGTGCTTGTAGGAGAGCATCAGGAAGCTTCAGAAACGCGCGGCAGACAGCCTGAGGGTTTAATAGAGGGCCAGCGGAGGCATCACATGCTGCCTCATAGAGGGGTTTAGCAAGGAGAGAAAAGTTGGGGATCCAGTGTCGGAAGAAACCAACGAACCCGAGGAAGGACAGAATCTGCTCGGCAGTGGTGGGTGGCTGAAGGTCACGAAGAGCCTGCTGGCGATCCACAGTGAGACCACGGGAAATGGGGGTGAGACGAAGTCCAAGGTAAGCGACAGTGGGTGTAGACAGCTGAACTTTAGAGGGGGACACCTGACAGCCCTTAGAGGCAAGAAAGTTGAGTAGAGAGGCAGTGTGAGTCTTGGAGTATTGCAGAGAGGGACTACAGAGCAGTAGATCATCAACGTATTGGAGGATGGTGCTAGGTTGTAAGGAACACTGGAGTAGGTCCTGGGCCAGAGCCTGACCAAATAGATAGGGGCTGTCCCGAAACCCCTGGGTCAGGACAGTCCAAGTGACTTGCCTGCATGTGTTCGTGTCAGGATCTTTCCATGTGAGGGCAAGGAGATTGTAGCTGGCTGGGTCTAAGGGGATAGTAAAGACGGCATCTTTGAGGTCCAGGACAGGAAAGTGGGTAGTGGAGGGCAGAATATGAGAAAGTAAAGTGTAGGGATTAGGCACTACAGGGTGTATGGGGACCACTGCCTCATTAATGAGTCTGAGGTCCTGGACTAGCCGGTAGGAGCCATTTGGCTTTCTGACAGGAAGGATTGGGGTGTTGTAGGGGAGAGTTAGTAGGAACAAGGAGGCCTGTCTGTAAGAGGTGGTCGGCAATGGGTTTGAGACCCCTTTGGTGTGTAGGTGATATGGGAAACTGAGGTCGAGAAGGGAAAGAGGACGGGTCTTTGAGCTTGATAAGGATGGGGGTGTGATGAGAGGCAACAATGGGAGTGGAGGTGTCACACACTCGGGGGTCCACTTCCTGAGCAGGCAGCGGGAGTGGAGGGGAGTCGCCTTGGCCACCAGATGTAGCAGGTAGTAAAGAGAGCAGTAGCAGGGAGGCGGGTCCTGAAGAGAAGTTAAGTGTGGCCCCTATTTTGGCTAGCAAGGCGTGCCCCAAAAGGGGAGTGGGACATGGAGGTATAATAAGGAAAGAGTGAGTGATGGGGCGTTGTTCAAGCCAGCATGTCACCGGCCCGGTTGTGCGAGGAAAGGACGGGCGGCCGTCAATCCCCATGACGGAGACCTGGGAAGGATAAGTGGGACCAGAGAAAGCGGAGAGGACAGAGTAGGTAGCCCCCGTGTCGACCAAAAAGGACACTGTCTACCCGCTACCTTGATTTTTGCCCTGGGCTCGGCCAGGGTGATCAGGGTCGTCGAGTCGGGGTCCCATCAGTCGTCGGCAGCCAAGCCCAACATCGCCATTGGCGGGTCTATGGATGGAAGGGCTGACCCTCCAGACCCTGAGCCGGAGGGGCAATCACTTTTCCAGTGTCCCTCTTGACCGCATGCACATGGCTTAGTGGGCGGTCGTGGCTGCGGGCAGCATTTGGCCCAGTGGCCCTCGAAGCACTTGGCGGAAGGGGTGGCCCCAGAGGGTCCAGCCGGTGTCGCAGGTCTTCTCGAACCACCGACCCCTGCCGGCCGCAGAGCTGCAACCAAGGCGTGGGCCTGCAAGTGAGCCTTTTGGCGCTTCCTTTTGGACCTCTGCCTGTTTATCACAAGAATTGAAAACTTTAAATGCAATAATTACCAGGTCACCAAGTGGGATCTGAGGACCTTGATCTGCCTTTTTGAGCTTCTTTCAGATGTCAGAAGAGGACTGAGTGATAAAGTGGGTTGCCAGGACTGTGCCCCTGGCCACCGAGGTGGGGTCTAGGCGGATGTGTTGGATAAGGGCGTCGGTGAGGCGACTCAGAAAGGCGGCCGGGTTTTCATCTGCCCTCTGAGTGACCTCCCTCAGCTTGTCATAGTTGACCGCGCGTTGGGCAGTGGCATGGAGCCCAGCGAGAATGCACTGCAGCATGCGGTCCCGCCGTCTCCTGCCTTTCTGGGTATCTGGCTGATAATCCCATTCCGGCTCATTTCAGGGAACAGCCTCTACACCTGGTGGCCTGGTGCGATCATTGAGCTGGACCTGGTCAGCATGGCCCTGGGCCGCTGCCCAGACCCGTGCCTTTTCATCAGTAGTGAGGGTGGAAGATAGGATAACAAAGATATCATGCCAAGTGAGGTCGTAGGCCTGAGTAAGATACCGGAATTCCTTGGTGTAAGCAGTAGGGTCATTTGAAAACGACCCCAACCGCCTCTCACTTTGGGAGAGGTCAGAAAGGGAAAAGGGGACATGTACTTGTACGACGCCCTTGGCCCCGGCCACTTCATGCAGCGGGCAGATGAGAGGACGATTGGAGGGGAGTCTGTGAGAATGGGTGTGACGACCGATAGGAGACCGCGGGGGCGACTGGGGGAATGGAGCGGTGGGTTGGGCAGAAGGCTCAGGTGGAGAGTGACCAGAGTAAGGCGGGGGTCTAACGGGAGGGTGGCTGAGGAGTCTGGGGAATCTGAGAAGGCCGAGGTGGAGGCTGCTGGAGAGAGGTCTGAGAGGGATCTGGAGAGAGAGGGGAGTTGTGAGCCAGGAGGACCTGCGCAGGGTTACAGGTCTGACAGAGGGAGGGGCGGGAGCGCACGTAGGAGAAAGCCGGGAGGGTGCAGATAGCCTGGACACGGCGGGGCTGTGTAGGGGAGACCTCAAGGAGTTAAGGGAAACAGAGAAAGCTGAGGAGGCATCTGGAGAGACAGGAAGAGACGGTGCCGGGTGATGAGAGGATGGTGTCAGGGAAAGAGAGAGAGAGAGAGAGAAAAAAACAGAGATAACGGGAGCCTGAACAGAAAAAGGCTTGGACGTATGGCATCTGCATGGGGAGGAGGTCGAGGAGGGGAAGAACCGAGAGACTCAGGAGGGTCAGAGAAAGCAGAAGGTTTCTTCGCTGGAGGTGGCGGGGTAGTGGAAGGAGGAAGGGCAGGAGGTGGTGGGGCCCCGAGTGCGGGCGGCAAGGTCCTGGCCAGGAGGACCCGTGCGGGATTGCAAGTCAGGCAAAGAGAGGGGCGAGAGTGGAGGTAAAAAAATGCCTGGACATAAGGAATTTTGGACCACTTGCCGCTTCTGTGGCAGAAGTTGTCAAGGTCTTGTAAGACATTGAAATCGAAAGTCCCATTTGTAGGCCACTGGGAGCCATTGTCCAATTTATACATTGGCCAGGCATTATTATAGTAAAAAGTGAGGTGCTTGGGCCGGATATCGGGCCCAAGGCCCAAGACAGTCAGGTTAGCCAGGAGACAGCCCAGGGGAGTCTTCCGTGGAATTTTGGAGGATTGGCTGCCCATGGTGTCTCAGGTCAAGCAGATGGGGAAGGCGACAAAAGCCAGGGGGATGTCCCCACCAAGGCAGATATGCCCAGACAGGAAAAGGGAACAAGAGAGTCTCAGGCATCCCTGAGGGTCTCCAGTCCCGGGGTCAGGGCCCTCTGACCTGGGCCCACGAATTTAAACGGAAGGAACAGCTCCTTGAGACAGAGATCCAAACGGTCTTGAGCTGAGGCAACACAGAGTGACTTACCCGGGCCAAGAGAATCAGGGACCTAGGGCGTGTGGCCAAAGATCCTTGTCCGGAGGGTCCGCGGAAGGGGGCGGCGCCACTTGCCCCTCCTTGGTTTTGGCACCGAAATGTAAGGTTTTTGGATGGTCGGCGCCAGAGAAAGAAAGACGAGCAGAGCGAAAAGGGCAAGCAACGAGGCTTTATTGGGGGAAGGGGAAAAAGAGCGCTCCCGGGCGAGGTTCACGGGTCCCGAGAGGTGGGACCCAAGAAGTGGCGCCGCCCGAGAGTTTTGAGCGGGCTTATATATGTTTTAGATTTGGGGGATGGGGGTTTTCTGGGGCAAACAATTTTGGCGTGAAAAGTGGGGAGTTCTTTGTTGCAGTTTTAGGGTGGGTGTCGAGAAGTAGGAGGGGCCAGTGGTATTTGTGGATTTCAGGCGGCGCCGGTGGTATTTGTGGACCCCAGGGACCGCAACTTCTCTTATCGGGGTGAACGTCCAGGTGTGGTTATTTTTTAACTCAGGTGAGCCTGGCAGTTGTTTGTGGGCTTCTCTTACTTTCTTTAGGGAGGGGAGGGGTGCCCGCCACCAGCCTTACAGTCAATTCAGACCGGGCAAAAGCGCCGGTTGAGAGGGTCAGAGCCGTCCGCAGCCACCCGCTTGCCCGCCTCGGTTAACAGCAATCTTTTTAAAGAGCCTCCTTTTTTCTGCTCTCAGGGACAAAGTGGCATTTATCACAGGCGGTGGCTCTGGGATTGGGTTCCGGATTGCTGAGATTTTCATGAGGTGAGCACTGCTCTGGGCCCCCCGCCCCGTGCCCCTGCTGGATCCCGGGCTCCCTGGACAGGATGCTCGGTGGGTGGTGGAACTTCTCTAGGGAATGGGGCGTGGACGTCCCCCGCCTGCCCAGCAGAGTCCAGGTGCCTCCTAGAGGGTCTGGGGAGGGGTCGGGTATTGGCACAGGGGGAGACTGGACTCTGGGGTCTCCCAGGGGTAGACTGGACTCTGGGGTCTCCCAGAGGCCAGTGGAGGTTGTGTGGCTCTGGTCTTGGGGCCTTCTGGGGCCTCACAGAGCTGGGGTCAGGGTGGGTTGTATCGGACGCCCCTACCACGCAGAGCACATTGTCTCTTGGAACACAAGCAAGTGGTGTGACCAGGCCGGGGTTAGCAACTTGTCACCCTGCCTGGCAGAAGCCCAGAGTTAGGCTGAGGCTGGGAGAGAGGGACCCTTCCCCGGTTCCCCCAAGCGTCCCTACTTTAAATACCAAAGAGGTGAGTCCCACAGGAAGAGGTTGGGTGGACCTGTCTTTAAAGCCGAGGCTCTATGCATGTTGCTTCTCCTAGAAGAGCCTGGTCATCTATGCTCAGGGTCGTTTTGAGGATTAGATGGGCCACTGTAGCTCCCATGGACCTGCTTAGCAGGCAGTAGCTGCCTTTGTTGTTACTGTGAGGCGGCGTGGGGCAGGGAGGCACCTGCTTCAGAATGGGCTCTGTGCCCTTCACTCCAACTCCACAGGGGGAAGGGGGCCCAGGCATGTGGGGCTGAGCCAGGAGGACAAAGCAGAGCCTGGGCAGTAGCTGTCTCTGCATGCACAAGGTGTTCAGGGTGGGGTCTACAAGCCTGTGTGACTGCGATACCACATGCCAGAGGGGCCCAGCCCAGAAACCCCGGGGTGGGCAACAATGGCATTCACCTGAGGTCCCTCCACAGTTGCTCAGCCCTGTTCAGCCCATGCCCTCTGCCAGCCGTGCCTTCAGCCCTTGACTGGTACTTTTGCCAAGAAACTCTTGGGTGGGATCGCTGCTACGTGCTTGGGCAAGAGCCCACCTGGGAGTGCCCCTCCCCCCTTACTGTCCTCACACCTGCCGTCTGGTTTTGCAGGCATGGCTGCCACACAGTCATCGCCAGCCGGAGCCTGCCAAGAGTGTCTATGGTGAGGGTCTCTCCTGTGGCCCCATCCACGGGTAGCTGTGGGGGCCCTTGAGCCTGGGCTAGGAGGGTGCTGAGGTCCAGGGGATAGTGACGCCAGAACTTTCTCCTCCCCCAAATATGGAGCTTTGGGAAAGTGATTATTGGGTCCTGTGAGGGGCCCTCATATTGGAGGATCTCTGGCCTTAGTAGGGTTATGAAGGTGTCCCACCTACCTGGGTCCTTGACCTGGGCTAGAATCTCACCAGTGCCACCTCTGGCAGGGATGGAAATCCAGGTGGGGCTGCCCTTGGCCAGTGATGGCAGAGCAAAGGGAGGATTCTGGGCAGGGACGGGGGGATAGAGGGTGTGGGATGTCTTACAAACTCCCACCAGGGCTCGTGGCCTCAGGAGTGGCCCCTTGGAGGCTGGGCTCCCCCAGAGTGGGGTCCAGCAGCAAATCCAGGGTCCTGGTAGAACCTGGACCCATGTCATCCTCATGGACTCTGAAGGCTGTTCCTCCAGGCTGAGGCTGCTGAGCTGTCCACCTGTGTCTTTTTGTCTGGCTTCTAGGCTGCCAAGAAGCTGGCTGCTGCCACTGGCCAACGGTGCCTCCCTCTATCCATGGACGTCCGAGCGCCCCTAGCCATCGTGGCTGCTGTGGACCAGGCGCTAAAGGAGTTTGGCAAAATCGACATTCTCATCAACTGTGAGTCAGTGTTGAGTGAGGCTGGGGGGCTTCTGGCAGGTCAGCAATACCATCTTGGGGCCCCAGAACTCTGGTCCTTGCATGGGGACTGTGCCAGAGGGCCTAGGTGCCCACCTCAGGCACAGCTGCAGGTACCGGAGGTGAAGACCCAGGCTCTGGGCTCTGTCTCGGGCCAGGCTCTGCTGCTTCCAGTTCAGCACAGCCTCCACTCAAGCCTGCCTGTGAATGTGACTGATACAGGCCCAGGGGTACCTTGTGTCCTGAAATTCTCCCTTTAAAGAAAGTAATAGACCTTATTTTTTTTAGTACAGTTTAAGATTTACAGAGCCGTTGAGCAGGTAGTACGTGGAATTCCATGTACCCACCCCCAGTTTTCCTTACCAGTGACATCTTGCATTTGTTGCAGTTGATGAACAGCATTGATTTGTTATTACTAACTGCAGTCCACAGTTTGCATTAGGGTTCACTTGCTGAAATTCTCTTTTAGAACTATCCTGTGCATAGTTTCCTGGGGCTAACAGAGCGCCACAACCTGTGTGGCTTAAAACAACAGAAACGTACTCTTTCTCCGTCCTGGAGGCTAGAAAGTCCAAGGCCAAGGTGATAGCAGAGCCATGCTCTCTGAAGCTCTAGCGGAGAATCTATTCCATGCCTTTATCGTAGCTCCGGTGTTGCCGGCAGTCCTTAGCTCATAGACGCATTGCTCTACTCTCTGCCTCTGTGTCACGTGGCCCGTGTGTCTCTGCGTCTTCTCTTATTATGGGGACATCAGTCACTGGATTTGGGGCTCACCCTAATTCAGTGTGACTTCAGTGTAACTTGGTTATATCTGCAAAAACCCTATTTTCAAAAGGCCACATTCATAGGTACCAGAGATCAGGACTTCATCGTGTCTTTTTGGGGGACACAGTTCCACCCATGATATCCTATCTCTGTGCTGTCCAAGTGCAAGGGTCTCCTTCTCTGTCCAGCTTGCAGCACCCTGAGGGTCCATGTGCTCTACCTGCCTACAGGGCATACGGGCTCCCTCCTGCACCCTCCCTGCAGGGCCACTGCCTACCTGGCACCCCTGTCTCCAGGACCTGCACACCTGCGTCTCTTCCTCTGCAGGTGCAGCTGGGAATTTCCTGTGTCCTGCCAGTGCGTTGTCCTTCAACGCCTTCAAGACCGTGATGGACATCGACACTGTTGGCACTTTCAACGTGTCCCGTGTGCTCTACGAGAAGTTCTTCCGGGTAGGTGTCCTCCTGGTTGGAGCCTCCCATCTTCTGGTTACCTGCTCACTGCCCCCCACCCCCCCGTGTGTTGCAGGACCATGGAGGGGTGATCGTGAACATCACTGCAACCCTGAGTAACCGGGGGCAGGTGCTCCAGGTGCATGCAGGCTCAGCCAAGGCAGCCATGGGTAGGGGCACCCCGGCCTGCCACCTGGGTTCTCTGTGGGGCCCACTCCTGACCACCCTGGAGGCCGGCCATCTCCAGGAGAAGCTGGGCCCAGCTGTGGGCAGCGGAGAGGCCTGGCCTTGGCCCTGGGCCCCCACCCACATTCGGGCCACCCCAGAAGGCAGAGTGGCTCTGCGTCCTCCCCTCACATCCATCTCCCTTCCACGCAGATGCAATGACGCGGCACTTGGCTGTGGAGTGGGGTCCCCAGAATATCCGTGTCAACAGCCTCGCCCCCGGCCCTATCCGTGGCACAGAGGGATTCCGGCGCCTGGGTAAGCCTCCTGGGGAGCGCGGGCCTCCCTTGGATCTTCCCCTGGGGCATAGGCTGCCCATCGAAGCTTCCAGAACCTTGGCAGGTGCATGTTGAAAGCCCTGTGCTGGTTCCTTGGCAGCTGCACTCCTCTGTCCGCTAGGCCTTGGGGACACTGAATGTCCCTGTTGTTCACAGATGTGGCTTGGGGAAGGTGCTGGCTGGGGAGGGTGTGGGGGTCCTGGGGCTCACAGGGGCCTGAGCCTCCCGCTGCCCTCCAGTTGGCCCCCAGGCCAGCATGAATACAGAAGTCCTGGCGAGCCCCCTGCAAAGGCTGGGGAACAAGACGGAGATCGCCCACAGCGCACTCTACCTGGCCAGCCCGCTGGCATCCTACGTGACAGGGGCCGTGCTGGTGGTTGATGGTGGGGCGTGGCTGACGTTCCCAAATGATGTCACGCGGCTGGCGGATTTCGAATCCTTCTCTGCTAAGCTCTAGGTGAGTGTCCCGGGGTCACCTGTGTCCTTGACGCTCCTGCCCTCGCCCTGCTGGGCTGCTGCGGAACTGGAGGGTCAGTCTCTGCAGGAGCGTGGTGGGCGTCTCCCTTGTCCCCATCCTCGCTGCCCACTGGGCAGACAGGGCCCCCAGGCTGTGTGGGAGTCGTCCGGCCCTGTGACCTAGGCCTCTGCTGGCATTTCCGACAAGCTCTGGAAGGCTGAGGCAGAGGAAGTGTTCAGAAGGGGGAGCCACCCTGAGCCTGCTCCTGAGCTCTGGGATGCCTCCTGCCACCCCCGCCCCCAGTGGAGCCCAGCCCCAAATCTGAGTTCAGCCCTTCTCCAGGCACCGAGCTGTCTCCACACTGTCCCGCCCCACGGCCCCACCTCTGGGGCAGGATCGACCAGGCATGGAGCCTGGCCTGTGACCCTGCTCGTGCGGGCGTCTGACCGAGGGCCAGCTAGGAGTGGGGGCAGCCAAGGTGCTGGGGTGTCCCTGGCCTGCCCAGCCCTAGCCCCTGGCCTCCTTTCTCCCTGCGTGTGAGCAGTGGGTGTCCTTGGTAGCTCTTGCCTGCCTTAGGTGGAGGGCATGGGGCACTCTGCGCTCCGTTTTCCCTTCCTCGCTCCTGGCCCTGGGGAAGCTGTGTCCTCAGAGGGAAGTCAAACCAGAGAGGCTGGAGGGATGCGTCGGAGCCACCCGCCAGGCCCCGTGTCCTGGGCCCCTTCACGAGGGTGCTTGGGTGGGGGACGGGATGCGCTGGCTGGATGGGGGCACCTTCCACGTCGGCCTCCAGTTGACACAGGCTGGGGTTGCTCACCCCCTGCCCTGGGACTCCCACGGGGGCCTCCCCACAGGAGCTTGTCCTCGGTCACTCAGGGCTCACTTTCCAGGCCCTCGGGTGGCTGGTCCCTGTCACCAGCACCTTCCCTCAGGACTGGGGGCATTGGGAAATTCCAGCCCCTCCTTTGTTCGTTGGGTCCAGCGCCTGAGGGGGTTACTTGGATCCTGTGCCTCCTTTTCGGTTCGTTGGTTAAAACTTTGAGGTGCCCTGTCTGAGTTGCCAGGAGCTGTGGGACGGCCCCCAGGCTGGCCCACAAGTGCCGCCGCCTTGCTGTTTCTGCACTTCCAGTTTGCATACGCACAGGTTCTACAATCTTGCCAGAAAATGCATTTTTTAAAAACAAAATCTTTTTAATATAAAAATACCTATTCATTGGGCTTTGCAAAAGTTTTTAGAAGGAAAAAGAAGACGATTGAAAAGAATCAGTGGTGATACTGTCGCTTAGAGGTTGGGGTTGTGTTTCCTTCCTGCGTTTTTGTGACGTTTAGAACACTCTTCCCACCTGGTGCCTGAAGCCCTGGTCCTCAGGCAGGGCACCTGCTCCCCTGCGGGAGGCAACCTGCTCAGACGCGGCTGAGACTGGGGGCCACGTCCCAGGACCAGCCAGGCCTCCTCTGCCCACCCGCTGGTCGCCTCTCTCCTCGGGCTGGTCGCCGCCTTGCCTTTCTTCCTCTTGTGAACGTGGCCCAGCCCCTCTGCACACGGAAGGGCGTGAGCGGGAGGCCGGAGGGAGGCTGGCTGCCTGTGCCCTCCTTTCCCTCACGGACGGCCCTGGGCCCTGTGGTCCCCACTCTGTTTTTGCACACTCCCAGCTCACTGCTGTCCCAAATCCCAAATGTGTTCAGGCCTTACTTTCTGAGAAAGGGGAGAAAAGTTTGGCACCTTGGCAAACACAGTATTAAGCTTACACCTGTTGAGTCAGCTTTAGGGGGCTCATTTCCACATGTGGTTCCTCACCTGTGAAGCAGGAGCAGCCGTAGTCACCCAGGAGGCAACGTCAGAAGCAGGATGCACTTACTTGCCGGCAGCAGCTCTGTGGTGACCCCACAGCTGTCAGAGCTTGGCTCAGGTCCTTTTCCTGCCCAGCACTGTTGGGGCCACATCCCTGCACACCTAGTGTCCAACCTGTTCAGCCTTCTTACAGAGTCCAGATGTGGCCTCTGTGGGGCTTAGCAAAGGAAGTGACTGAAAACTTACAGCCACAGGCAACACCAAACACTCCGGTGCACCCTGAGGGTGGGATTGGCTGGACTGACAGTCGACACCCACACGAGTGCACCGTCTGCGCAAGTGAAGCACCTGACCTTCGCCTGGCACCTGTCTGTGGACCTGCGTCTGGAACGCGCATCCCGGGTGTCCACCAGCCTCGACAGCCAGGCGCTGTTGCCTTTGACGTCCGAGATGTGCAGGTGAGGTGGAGACGTTGTGCAGCACGGAGCTGAGGTTTGAGAACAGCGTCTGCCTGCCAGGACCCATCCGCGTGCTGACCTCCAGGACGACAGCAGAGTCTGGAGGCAGGTGCTCCGGGACCAAGCCTTTCCGTGCAGACACAGGGAAGTCACTTGTTCCTCATGTGGATGTGGCTGTCAGTTTGGCTGCAAGAAACTGGCCTCGCTGTTTGGCTGCGTCCACCACCCAAAAGGATGGGTACAGGCCACACCCCGGCAGGTGTCACTTGCCCGCCATGAAGCTGGGGAAGGCAGGTGAGAGAGAGAAGGGCCAGGTGTGCATGGTGAGGAGAGGCAGTGGTGCTCTGGCTCATGGAGCTGTCGTTGGCCTTGGTGGTGACGTCTACACCACAGCGGTTGGCAAAGAAGTAGGCTGTCCCTGTTCACATCAACAATCTCTTAACATTCTCTTCAAATACACCATATCTTGAAAATATAGAAAATGCTGGGTTGCCTGAAAGGAAGGATAATTTTTTATATGTGAACCTTGGTGAGAGAATTTTCTGAAACTTTAGCTGTAGAAGCTGCCAACTCTGAGCTTCCCTCTTTGATGCGGACGAAGGTGTTTAACTTCCATCCTTTGAAAGCCGTGCGTGAAAACGTCAGCCAAAGCAGAGGGGTGCGGGATTCGGTCCCTTTCCCACGTCTTCACTGGAGTTTCAGGGAGCAGATGCACATTTTAAAAAGTGTGTGTCGTGTGCTGTGTCTGTTGAATGAACAAATGAACGAAGCTTCTTCACCCTCAACCTTTTGTGAGCCACACAGTTTACTTCAGAGCCATCACTGTGACTCACAGGATGCAGTGGACATCCGTGCGTGCCAATCTTTGTATAGAAAACCTGAGAATGGCCCACGTAAACAGTGCTGATTTGGGGGCGTCCGTCTGTGCTGCCTTGCACGGCCATGGTACCTGTGCTTTGTGTGTGCTGCAAGCCTCTGGCAGGTTTGCCACAGGCCAGACTCCTGTGTGGCTCTGCCAGCCACTGGGCTTGGCTCCTTCCCCACGTGTGTCTCTCATCCCCCACCCCCCCACTGCCTTCCTCTCTTTCCTTCCCAGCCTGGGCACTGTGGTACCTGCCATGGCTGAGCCACCCCAACGGGCCAGGGGAGACTTGGGCTGTAGGTAACCTCGCCTGGACATTTGTCCACCAACTGAGTGTGTACACGCACCTGCTCTGTCCAGGGTGCTGGGGACAGAAATGTGTGTGTGCTACCCTCCTGGGGAGGGGCTGGTGCCTGCCTGGCTTCCTGTCTTCTCTCTGCCTTGCACGTGGGCTCACTGATGGCGCAAAGGCAGCGAGAGCAAGACGATGAGTCCCCAAGAACCTCATCAGCGGTGAGGTTTGAGGGCTGTCCTTTGACCCCCACATCATCTTGTCCTTATCCTTTGGGACAGACCAAGCCTGCCTTGCAGCAGTCAAGCCCCCACCCACGGGCTTGGCGAGGGACTGCTTCTAGAACACGAGTTGGCACCACTGCTGACTCACACCAACCCAAGTGGCTGCAGGCCAGTGTTGCCCAGTGTGCTGCGTTTTCAGCGTGTGTCTGTGTGTTCCTGTCCAGTGGTCCAAGGAGTCTTGGACCTGCCTCCCTGGTGACCGGGAACCTGGGAAGCCAAAAGGGCAGTTGGAGGATGGCAGGTCGTCCCTGACAGGTGTCTGTCAAAGAAGGAATGAGAAATGTTCGTCAGAAGTATGAAGAATTAACTTTTAGCTCTTCCATCATCACATGCGATTTGGACAATTTTTACACAGTGGGGAGGAGAATGACGTGACCTGGACCTTCACCTCTTTGGGAGGTGACAGGCGGCTAAGAAGGGAGCTCTGCTCCCTGCACAAACCTCCCTGCAGGCTCCGGAGCCCTCCCCAGCTAGGCCTGGGGGAGGTGTGGTGGGCACAGAGGGGGCTCTGAAGAACTCCAGGCGCGGGGGGAGCTGGAGATGCGTTGTCATCAAGAAGGCAGGAAGCAGGTGCTAGCAACTTCAGAGTGAAAAGTTAAAATAAGAAAATCTTCAAACCCTCCGGCTGAGTCAGGAGGAGTTAAATGGTGCCTTACGAATTCATGTTCTATTTTTACTCTAAGAAATGTACTTTACCAAATTTGAAGGTGAGACTAAAAGTCCTTCCACACTGAATAAGGTATCAGTAAACACAAGTGAGGCTCTGGGCTCTCAACTGCTGGAGACCACTAGGGAGAGTGTGGTCCGGACCTAAATTTGACTTCTCACCAAGTTCCTTACAGAATGCAAATTTTAATCTAGTTTTCAAAGTTGTAAATTAAAAATATTTGGCAGGTAGTTTTAGTTTATAGCTTTATTTAGGTGTAATGACATGATAAACTGCACATACGTGAAATGTGTAATTTGACGAGTTCTGACACGTCCGCACCATCAGGCCCTCAGTGCGCTCAAGGCCATGAGCGGTCCCCAGCACCTGCTGGGGGCTTCCCCGGCCCCGGGATCCCTCCCTCACCGGTCCCACCCCTTACCCCAGTGACTGCGGATCTGCCGCCGCTGCAGGTTAGTTTGCGTTTTCCAGAGTTTTGTATGAGTGGAATCAGTAATGTGGACTCTCTTTTCTCTGGCTCCCTTTATTGAACATTATTATTCTGAGATTTGTCCACAATGCTGTATGTATCGACAATTCATTCCTTCTTATTGCTGAGTTGTCATCTGGGGTATGATGTACCAGCTTGTTGATTCATTTACCTGTTGATACACATTTGGGTTGTCCCCAGTTCTTTTCAGACAGTCTCACTCCGTTGCCCTCAGTAGAGTGCCGTGGCATCAGCCTAGCTCATAGCAACCTCAAACTCCTGGACTCAAGTGATCCTCCAGCCTTGGCCTCCCAGAGTGCTAGCATTACAGGCGTGAGCCACCACGTCCAGCCTGCACATTTCCTTGATTTACCAATGAGGTTGAGCATCTTTGTTATATGCTTATCAGCAATTTGAATTTCTGATTGAATATGAACTGCTTATTTGTATTTCTTTGCTTGTTTTCCTATGGGGTTGCTGTTCTTTTATTGGTTTTTGAGGAATTCCTTGTGTATTCTAGAAATGAAACTTTTGTCAGTTACATCCATTCTAAATATCTCTTCCCAGTTGTTACCTTAAAATTTACATGTTGGCCAGGCGCAGTGGCTCACGCCTGTAATCCTAGCTCTCTGGGAGGCCAAGGCGGGCGGATTGTTTGAGCTCAGGAGTTCGAAACCAGCCTGAGCAAGAGCGAGACCCCGTCTCTACTAAAAATAGAAAGAAATTAATTGGACAACTAAAAATATGTAGAAAAAGCTAGCCGGGCATGGTGGTGCATGCCTGTAGTCCCAGCTACTCAGGAGGCTGAGGCAGGAGGATCGCTTGAGCCCAGGAGTTTGAGGTTGCTGTGAGCTAAGATGACGTCACGGCACTCTAGCCCAGGCAACACAGTGAGACTCTGTCTCAAAAAAAAAAAAAAAAAAATTTACATGTCGAAGCCCTACCCACCAATGTGATGATGTTTGGAGATGGGTCTTTGGGAGGTAATTAGGCATATGAGGTCATGAGGGCAGGGCCCTTCCATGGGATTAGTGCCTTTAGCAGAAGAGACAACAGAGAGCCTGCTTGCTCTCTGATGTGAGGACACTGAGAAGATGGCTGCTATGGCTTGAAAATCTGTCCCCTCCAAAACTCGTTGAAATTTAACCGCTAATGTGGCAGTATTGAGAGGTAAGGCCTTTAAGAGGTGACTGGAAAAATGGGTTATCAGGGGAGTGGGACAGGTGGCTTTATAAGAAGAGGAAGAGAAGCCAGATGTGGTGGCTCACACCTGTAATCCCAGCACTTTGGGAAGACAAGGTGGGGGAATCACTTGAGGCTGGAAGTTTGAGACCAGCCTGGGCAACATAGTGAGACCCCATCTCTACAAAAAATGAAAAAAAAATTAGCCCAGCATGGTGGTACACTTCTGCAGTCCCAACTACTCAGGAGACTGAGGCAGGAGGATTGCTTGAGTCCTGGAGTTTGATGTTGCAATGAGCTATGAGGGCACCACTGCACTCCCGCCTGGGTGCCAGAGTGAACAATCTTGGCCACTCGCCACGTGCTGCCGTGTGCCACCTCAGGATTCTGCAGTCTCCACCAGCAAGAAGGCCCTTACCAGATGCAGCCCCTTGACTTTGGACTTCTCAGCCTCTATAAGAAATAAATCTTTCTTTATAAATTACTCAATTTCAGGTGTTCTGTCATAAGCAACAGAAAACAGACTAAGACAGTGACCGTCAGCGAGCCAGGAAGTGAGTACTCCCCAGGAACTGAACTGGCTGACACCTTGATCTTGGCCTTTTTAGCCTCCAGAACCGTGGAAAATAAAATGTCTGTTGTTTAAGTAAATCAGTCTCTGGTGTTTTGTTATGGCAGCCCAAGAAGGCCAAGACATTATGACGTATCTTTGTCCAACAGAAGTCTTAACTAAAAAAAAATTTACTAAGGTATGATTTACATACAGTAAAAATTATCCTTTGTAGTGTACAGTTCTGTGAGTTTTGATAAACACATACAGTTATGGAACATTTCCTTCATTCCAAAAAACTCTTCCATTCCCAGCCCACGATGATCTGATTTCTGTCTCCACAGTTTTGCAACGCTTAAAATTTTAATGTATTTAATCATTCTTCCCTTTAATGGTTTGTGATTTTTATTTTTTTTTCTTTTCATTTTCAGTGACCCACTTGAAGTGATTTTTATTCTTGTAAAAGAAGTAATTTTCTTGCTCCAAGGACATAAAGATATTTTCCAATGTCTTCTAAAAATGTTGAAGTTTTGCTTTCAACCTTTATGTCTTGATTACTGTGTCATTATTTTGCATCTGATATGAGGTAGGGATCTGATTGTGAGGTTTCTGTGTGGATAACTGGATATTCTAAGGACTGTTAGCGTGTGGGCTATTGTCCATCCTTATGACCAGCAAGACCACCAAGGTAAAAGTGATGGATTTGACTACTGGAAGATTTGTTTACTCTTCCCCACCAGAGGACCCCCACAGAGTTCATGGAGGGGTCCACAGGCAGGGAGAAGATATCTGCAACATCTAAAACTAATGATGGATTTTTGGGGAAAAAAAATCAGAACCCAACAGAAAAATAGGCAAGTGCTACAATTGGGTGGTTTGCAGAGGTGGGATCCCAGGTGGGCAATGAATTCAGTAAGAAACACTCCACCACACAAGCATTCGGTAAGTACAAATACGACAATGATAAGGTGCCACTTTATGTTCATTGGACTAGCAAAAATGGGGAAA